TTGTTGTAATATCTATCAAGTATTTTTCTTATTTGTATAACTTATGTAATTAATCAGATATTCATTTATGATTGAGCTTTTCTCAATAAATTTATATTCGTCATGCATAAATTTGTGTATGGAACATATATTTATTGTTCTGCATGCCATGCTACATAGTAAGTGGTCGAAAAGTATTTTGACAAAATGTTTGTTCATTTTTCACCCGTCCGAAAGCATTTCCGACGCGTCAAAGTCTATGCATCAGAACTAGAATTTTGTGCTCTTTCCGAATATGGACTTAGAAATTCGTTGTCGGTTTCTGTTGGAGAGTAGTGAAATAATTTTTGAAAGGCCCAACAAATTAGTTTGGAGAGAAATTTTTTCGCGCAATTTTGTATTTTTGCTGCTGTGATCCGAAACTAAAAGTTGGAATCTTTATTATTGCACCCGCTTGTAGAGCAAAACCTATCCTACAAAATGTGTTACTTCAGCTTTTTGTTGTCTTTTGGATAAGGCTTCTGAATTTTCGTTTTTCCTACATCATCATTTTTGAAGAATCGTTTTTTTTTACCAAAAGTCTTTTACGTGGAAAGGAGTTTTTGGATAACTGCGTATAACTTCCCTTTGAGAAAAGCTACAACTTAATTCCATATCACATTTTGTAAACAATTGTTTGTTCTACAAAACTGTCAAATCTGAGAAGTTTTAGCATCTTTCCAAAGGAACTTGTATGGGTCAGGAAAACCTGTTTGTTCGCAGTCCAAACTAATTGTTTAAGCCTTTCAAAGATTTCCTCACTACTCTCGAATAAAAAAGACACAACATTTTTAGGCCTGCATTCAGAGAGAGCACAAAATTCTGATCCTAACCCATAATTTTGACTCATCGAGAAAAGCTTTCAAGCAAGTGAAAACAGATAAACATTTTGATCAGAAACTTTGGCTCGCACATTCCGTCCAAACTAATTTTTTTGGACCTTTCAAAGATTATTTCACTAATCTCGAACAGAAACCGACACCGGATTTCTAAGTCTATATTCGGAAAGAACACAAAATTCTGATTCTAACACACAGATTTTGACGCATCGGAAGTAGTTACAGGCGGGTTAAAAATGAACAAACATTATATCAAAATACTTTTCTACCGCCTGTTATAGCGCTAAATTTATATGAGCCAAGAACAAACGAGTCTCATGTAGTTATTAATTCAGTATATGTTGATTTTCTGTAGACAGTAGTAATGAATAATTGGGAAGGCATTAATAAATTATTAACTAGCGTTTATGTAATGAGTGTATCAAGAAATGACAAGGAATTGTTCGTTTCTTCATCATATGTGACGCTTATGTTTAGATCAAAAGTGGTTAGAATTTCAATTATCTTTTTCAGTATCTGTGTGGTTTCTTATGATTGTCAAAATAATCAAGGTATACTGCAAGTCTGAGAAGTTTTGATTTCTTTCAACTAATTTTCTTTTCTGATATGTATTATCATTAGGATAGGCTGATATTTGCAACATATAAACTGGATATCTAGATTTATTCTATCCCAAAATTTAAACTTTCTATCTCTTTTAGTTACAGAGAAACAAGTAGTATAAAATTCATAGGAATTTTGCTGAATTATTTTTGTAAACAGAAAGGATAAACAAATTGTAGTTATTCAATGAGTCATTCGTAAAGTTTAACATTTAGTTTTCTACATGTCACTTCTGCATTGTGCCATTGGCCATAGTTTAAAAAAAAACTAACTTACTAATGATTTTTCAAGATGATCAGAGTAGCAAATATCGAACAACAATTGTGCTGAATACTATTGGATCGCTCATTAACGAATGTATTGACCCTGAAATTGGTGATGCAAAATTTGGTGATATTTGGTTAAATGAGACAGTTTAGGGTGAAGTTAAAGAAAAAAACTGAGAGGAGAAAGATTCGAAAACAAATCAGAATTGGAAAATGTTCATCACAGTAAATTATGAGTAAATGATGCGAGAATAAGCGAGTCTATTGAAACAAGTGATAAATCATGATAGAGAGTAGATGTATAAACATTGGCATACGTTTTCTTCTTATTATGTTTAAATAATTTCGATTTGTACATCTCGTTCTATTCATCATTTTTTTTAAATACCGCTAATAGAACTGCAGAAAAATCCTCACAAAACAGTTCGAAAAGTTTCTTTAAACTTTTATGTCACTTGTATCTCTGACACTATAAGACGTAGAATACTCAAAATTACAGCGTAGAGTAGATCTTAGTATAAAGTATATATGCTGTAAATATCAGTCTATTTTAATGAAAAAAGCATATAAGAAAATAATAGTACATGAAAGAGATCAAAACTTATCAGACATTCTTTATGACTGACGGCAACCTTCAATTTGAATTATCAGATAATGGTTACCTGTGTATTTCAGTAGATACAGATGACTGTATTAAGTATTGATACGCCGTTGAATAACTGTGGTTGAATTGGAAACATTAGCAATATTGAAAAATGTCGATGTTAACTATACAAGAGTATAAAACACATGTTTGCAGCTTTCTCGGCAAATTTTGGCAATTTTTTTCTACGAAGTAGATTTATGCTCGATGAATTCCTCTAGAGCTAGTGTTTCGTTGATCAAGAATCACATTGATCCGTTACACTACTTTCACTTCACTTATATTTTCTCGAAAGTCACCATTTCCGAGATCAGTTTGCAATTAGTCATGACAAGAGAAGTGTGCCTTATAGGTTCTATCCATTAGCACAGACCAAGTCCAACGACAATCATATTTACATCAACTGTCACTTGACAAGCACAAATTTTTAGTTTCAATATCCAAATGAGATATATTCAGTTGTGAGGTATATTGAATATACATAAATTTTCTTACAATGATAAAATAGGAAAGTATTTCATCTCATTCAAGATTGTCATTTTCTAAATAAGAGCTTGTACAAAATTTCTTCGGAAGCAAAAGCTCCCTTAATGAGAGTATACTCTTAGTTCTGCCTGCTAGTTTGTATTCATCTCCCAGTGCTCCCCACAGCTTCATATTTTGTTCTGCTCATACAACAGGCAAGCTTATTGTTTCAAGTGTCTTATTCATTACTTTTTGTGAATATCGGGTACGGAGGTCGAAACCAATAAGAAAATCTTTATTCAGATTCGATTTGACTGACACTGTTGCAGAAAAGAAGATATGATTGTTTTCGCACATATCATCTTCTACTTACACACTAATGTTCTTTTCTGAGTAAGCTACTTATTTTTCTTTTTTATTGTTGTAGCCACTTTTTCTATATTTGGTTCATTGGTAAACATTGAAAGATTATTTAGTTTTTCAAAAACAATAAGTACAATAGAAAGTAGATTTTATAAAATAAAATCACGTATAAAAGTTTGATATTGAGGCACCCAAGAATAAGGATATAATTGATGCTTCAAAAATAGGATTTTCATCGACAGAGTGCATCTTTCAAAATTGGACGAATGAAAACTGATTGCTTCGAATATTAATTGAAGAACTTCATTATAAAAGGATAATAACTTGTTTCAGTAAAACACTTTTATTTAAGAGGATTAGTAAAACAGATGCAAAAGAGATAATGGGCAGAAATCACTCAATAATTTCGATATTATTACAAATATGCTTTGTGTTTATAATATATGTATATCATTAAAAATTGAAATATCTTTTTATTATAATATTTATTATAATCGTAAATTGTTATGAGCTTCTAAATAAACAGTCATCGAAAAAGTGCTGAATCAGTCGAACAATATTTAAATTACAGTACAAGTCTGCATGAAGTGATTACAAATTCGCAAGTGACACTTCTGTTTGTAAGAATTAAACGAACTTGATTAGAACTTTTAAGCTACTTATTTTTTTCTTTTGTAACTGTGTAATTTATTCGAGTCATTTATCAGTTTCATTTAACATTATTAAGTCAATTTCATTAGTGCCAATTACGAATTTACACTTGAAAGGTCGAGCCTTTGCTCTTTGGTTTCGATATCTCAACTATTTTTCATGGCAAACAATATTCATCCGGTCTTTTTTTCGTTTTATCACGTTCAAATATTACTCAATTGCTGTTCAAATAGGGTAATGAGAACTGTCATTCAGAAGAATATTGGAAGATGATAATTAGTATTTTATCTGACTTTTTTTAGATAAATTAACAGATGGCTTGTATTTTTGCTCTTACTTATCAAATATTGATAATATCCATTTCAACTTCTGTTTTTGATTATTTTTTTGTGTTTTTTTTTTTCTAATGCGTTTGTGATCCAGAGAAAATACCACATAACGGCATCTCCATTCGATTCGGTTGAGTCGAATCGAATTATTCGCTTATTCGAATCGATTTTGATCTCTGTTCAGGTACTCGTAATTTATGCTGACATCACTAATATCTAACTTTGTAAAATCGCGTATAACTTGCCTTCACTAACACCTACTTTGTACGAATCCTAGAAAAAAATATTCTGTCATCAAACACTATAAAATGATCTCCGCCCTACTAATACTCACAGATACGCATATCCTACATTTTGACACCAATAAGTGTTATCTTCAAATAGCTTTTCTTAAGAAACTTTTTCCTGGATAGATGTCCAACCGATCTGAAAATGTCTATAGATACCTACGAATACTCAAAAGATCTTTAGTAACAAGTGTAAAAGTATTGTATTTGATATTTGTTTTTCACTCACTTTATGCGTCATTGCATGTGAGGAGTAAGCAGCACTATACTTTGGCAATTAAATCTTTTTTACTTTTTTTTTTGTTTCGACAGTATTTAGATAAGTTCTGTTGTTATTCTATTATTTATTCAAGGAATAATAACTGATTGTATTCCAAGAGTACGGAATAGATTCAGATTTTCTCAACTAAAAAAGAAATTTTAATTTATTTTTTACTTTTGATTTATTAACAGTAGAGTATATCGATTATTTCTAGCATAAGTACAAATTATTCGATTATAAATAAATAAAGTTATTGGATATTGTTTTTTCTTTATCAATGTTTCTGTTGTCCAAGCACATCAGTATTGTAATAACTTGCTCCATTCGTCGATGTATGACGGAAAAAATTTCGAACTGGATCAAGAAAACTAGATTGATTGGAGATCGATTTTGGTTTTTTAAACTCAAATACTTTAACTAATTCAAGTGTGTATCGAGTGAGCGCAGTTGATGATGCCCTTTGATTTGATTTATCAATCACCTGTACAATAATGTTAAAATGAAGTGAATCAATTTTCTTGGTGACCGAATTTAATTCAAATTTAACATAATCTAGTTGAATTTCGTCATCCTGATCTGCCATTGAAATAAATGCATCAAGTTCAGCAAGACGTTTAAGATTAGTTTCTTTGAATTGATCGAGAGAAGTACGTAGTTCATTGGCCAAACGGCTGACTTCTGTTTGTTTACGCTTCTCAATTTCATTAAGTACTTGTGAAATTTGACGTGACGAAGATGTGTCAAAATGTTGTCGCCATTTTCGTACTTCATTGGAGGCTTTTTCTTCTATTGCATTAACTTCTAGTTGACATAGTTTCGAACGTAATGCATTCACTTCTTCTTGATACGATTGAGTACCTTGCTTTTTATCCATTGATATTACCGTCTCTATTACCTGTTTCTTTTATAACTGATATGCAACGTACATACATGTGCAGACAGTCAGGTAAGAGACAATCATAACGTGTGACAACGCGAGAATGAGAATGGCGCAGTCTTTTAGCTATTATATAAACATACATTGACATAAACAATACACGAGTACATTGATTATATCGACATTGAAACTTTCTACTAAGACAACATAATAAAAGAAATATTAAACTGGACAATATCACTTTCTTTTTTTCAATCATTTCGGCACACTTTCATGAAGTTATTCAATAAAGAATTTTTTGTTCTACAAAATTGCTTCGTTTTTTTTTCATTTAAATTTTTCTTGTTGAAGCAAAATTTAAAGTATGAAAGTATGTTCAATGATCTAACTGCGATTTTCGATTTTGTTCTTTCCATTTCTACAACCTTTTTAAGGTATCTAATACTATCGTTCATGAAAATAAAGCCTACTGATAATATTTCTACGCATGTCGGAGAAGCATCTTTTTCAAAGTGAGACTTAGTGTATGAAACTGCCGTTCTTGCGCTGTTGTATGTAGAATTTAATTTTGAACAAAATTTTATGACTGTTAAGTTGAAGAGTACAAACGATTAGATTTTAAAGAACAATCATGTAATTCTGTCAGACCAGACTTTTTCTCAGTGTTTTCCTTTCATAATTATTCTCGCAAATATTTCTTCTGAAATTCTTAAACATATATATGAAAATATACATAACTTTGTGGAGAACTTGGTAACATGCTTACCATTTCATCCGCTATAAACTTTTTTCCTATCTTTGGATCAGTTATTCTTTTTTTTCAATATTTTAAATAAACTAGATGTTATAAAGGGTGTCTCATAATTTATGGATCTCAACGAAAATTAGTTTATATGTAAACAAAGCTTATCTCATTTAATAATAGTGATACAAACAGAAGAAATATGACAAGAAGGGTATGGGTTGACGTGAACCAGAGCCACTATCAAACCCTTTTTTTTCTGGTCTGATCTGGTTCGAAATGCCTTCGGGCCACACTAGGCTGATGGATATGTCTGATTTTACAAATACATATAATTCTAGAGCTCTGTATTAATGTATCATTCTAGTTTCAGTTGTTCACTTAAATCTATAACGATAAAGATAAGATAATATTCGCAAAATCGAAAAAAATAAACCCAATCCTAATATTATAGATATTTACATTTGACAATCAGTTGTCGCAGCAGTACGAGGTGAATATAAAACTTTTGAAGAAAAATGCTGGTTGATATCAAGATTTTATTTACCATGTTTCTTCTGTTTATATCACTATCATTAAAAGAGATAATACCACCGAACAGTATTCCAATTAAAACATCATTCTAAGTACTCGAAGCTCATATACATATAGTTTGATAGGGATCATTCTTCGATTATGTATAAAGTAATTTTTGTTGATGTTCAGAACTTATGAAACATCCTTTATAATGCATGTGAAAGATGACATCTATTTAATCACACTTATTTTCAATACTATTAATTTTTTTAGTTGTTCTAGGCTCAAAACAGTGATCATTTATCAACAATTATTCTTATTATAATTGGAGTCGATTGAGTAAGACATCTATCATTTAAATATTTCAAATGTTAACATTAGACAACTTAGATAAACAATGGATTTATTCCAATAAGATCCCTTTTGAACAGTTTTTATTTAGTATATATAATGTTTCGATCATTATCTCCCGTGATCAGTTTGATTTTGCATCATAATAAATTATCATATCATCAGCGATATTTCACCGATTTTATTTCTTCAAAATTGATTCATGAAAAAAATCAATTATCATCATCATCGTCATCCACAGACACAAATGAATGGCTTTGGGAATATTTACGACACCGTCAATCATATCAATCATTAAATGATGAAAAAAAACGTCAAGTAATTTTACTTGAGTAAGTCATTATATAATATTTAATTTAAATATAGATCAAAAAATAAATTTAATTTTTAGAATTCAAACATTACGTGAAAGTGGTGAACGTGTACCTGATGATATTCCCGATGAATATTGGCCAGAATTAATCTCATCTCCTTTATTAAATAGTCGAAAATCAATATATAATTATCTTTTTCTACGTGAAATAAGCAAACGAAAACGTGCAGCTGAAAAAACTGCTCTACAAGAACGACGTGCTCAATCAGCTACACGTCATGCTGAATTAGCCGCTGCTGGTCTACCATTAACAAATTATCCTGGTTATACATCTATGTTTCGTCAATTAGCTGGCAGTCATACAGAACGTTGGATACGTGATAGCAAATTAATAGCTCAAGCACGTCTTGGTGAACATATACTTGTTGATTGTGGTTTTGAAATAGAACACGCTCGTTCAAAATATATATCAAAATTAGTTGATCAAATTGAATATTTTTTTGCTAATATACATCGATATCATTCACCATCATTTGTCACATTATGTAATTTTGCAACAGATGGACAAATTCAAAAAGAATTTACTAGACGTATTAATCAAAACCGCGGTGTATCATGTTTTGAAACAACTGAAGCAAGTTATTTAGATTTAGTTGATAGACAAAAATTAATTTATTTATCACCGCATAGTCAATACGAAATGTTTGAATATGATCATGATGCTGTATATATTATTGGTGCTATTGTTGATAGTAGTAAGCAAAATTTTAAGAAATTTCTTTTTGCGTTTTTTTGTTGTTGTTGTTGTTAAAGTTAATTTATTTAGGTGTTGGCGGACGACCTTTAACATTAGCAAAAGCTAAAAGAGATAATATAAAACATCAAAGATTACCATTAGAACGATATTTAAAGTATGATAAACATATTTAAAGAATATGAAAAGAACTTTGCTTTTTTCATGTAGGTTTGGTAGTAGTGCTAGTCGAGCATTATCATTGGATAAAATTTATTTTATTTTGATGGCATTGAAACATGGACAATCTTGGGCTGAAGCATTTCACGCTATTCCGTAAGATTAGATTAGATTTATTAAAAATTGAATGAATTTTTTTGTTTTTCAAAGGGATCGAAAAGTTGCTGAACGATTTAATCAACCACGTTTAGGTAGAAATGAATCAGAACGTTGGGGAAAATGGGCAGGCATTCGAAATAGAACAGATCAATGAATGATCATTCTTGAAATATTGTTTTTTTGTTAACGTTGTTTAATTAAAATAAGAAAATGATATATTTTGCTTATTACTTTCAAAACAATACAAAAAGAGTTATAGGCTTTTGACTTCGAAATCTGTGAATAAGATAGATATCAAAGTGATATTAATAATTACAAAAATACATGAGATTCTCGAATCTTTCATGATAAATGAATGATTTTTAGCAATTCACTATCTCATGAAAAGAACAGTCTTTTGAGCTGAAGTTTTGAGGACATTTTAATTACACTTAGATGCATATATGAGCAAAATTTCAGGAATATATCTATAACTCTGTAAGCAAGGACTAGGAACTGATGCATGAAAAAAATGGTCAGTCAAATACGGACCATGCGCTCAATTCACGCCACCGATCTCAAACAAAACTGTTCCTGTATGTAGTCTTAAGTATGATATGGAAGCGCGAAAAGTTTTTTCTTCTAAAACCCTTCTTCTATTGACATATTGGAATTACAATACAGGCACCCTTATGTGAAAAATGACGATTACCAATGCAGTACCTATGCATTGTATATTTCGCCATTTTTCAACGATGATGTTATTAGTTCAGATTGATACACTCAAAACCACTTTTCTGAGTATTAAGCAGTGTAAAAATATTTCGTAGGTTCCAGATATACCCTTCATTTTGTGACCAGAATTTCTATCGCTTATCAGCCGCCACTTTGAAACTAAGTACTAGTGTCTCCTAGCTATTAGACACAATTTTCAGAATATTGGGTTTTTGATTTTCACTCAAACGAAAACTTTTTCTAGTGCATACATGATGTGTTCAGCATAATTCACATTCGAACTTTAGAAAGATTATTCAATCGATGATCTTAAATTTAGCTAGTTTTTACGTATGTTATGAAGGAAAGTATCCAAAAAAAGTTCTATGTAAGCCATTCGAAGAAATATTGTTCTGTTCTCAAGAATTTTCGGTCCTGACGGGATCTCATTATATGTTTACTCCGGTAAAAAATTCCGCTCTTTAGAAAGTTTTTCTGGCTTAGCAGATCTTCCATGAAATCATGATTTTGTCAGACTTTGTATAATTTTAAAGTGCAAAGTGAGTACGACAAAGTTATGCAAAAGTTCGCGTAGGATCTTGTAGAATGGTCCGCGGGACTTTATTAATAAAAATCCAAAACTGACTTATTTTCCATACAAAATACAATTGAGTTCGTTCAGATCTTAAGAGAAAAGTTTTATCATATGAAATAGACTATTCAGTATAAAGCAGCATGTAACTCTGGGTTACATTTCATAAAAATATCCTTTGAAAATGACAACATTTGTTTTGTTGAAAAATATCCGTCGATTAATTCGAGTGTAGAAAGAATAAATCTTGTTAAAACAAAACAATTTCTTTGAATGATGTTGGAATAATGAGAAAGACATGTGTACTAGGAAAATTTCTTTTAAAAAGATTCAATTGAGACAATGAACACGATCAGTATGCCAAATTCTAGAGATAATCTATAATAATGAAAGAAAGTAAGATTAAGTGATTGTTTTAACAATAATCATTGACTTTATTATAAGAGATCAAGTTCGGTAGAACGAGGGTGTGGGTATCGCCTAAGACAAGAGGTGTCAGCACTCACATCCTCAAGTGTTTGAACTAATTTATACGTTAAATAACGTATTGTTGTTGAAATATTTTCGTGTAAATTATTATTGCAATCTTGATATATTATTTGTTTTGTTCAGAATTTTTCAATATCAATGTAATAAAATTTTATATTTGTTATTGTTGCTCAAGGTTTTGATAAATGTAATAATATTCTCAAACAAGGTAATACTATTAATTTAGGTA